ATAGCTATAAATTAAGGTGAAACTCTGAATGATAAATGAAATGATATGAATAGATTGAACTGTAAACATGTTGAATATATGACTGAGTGAAACAGGGTCAGAAGTGATTGTTTTCACTGCCCTTGTGACTTCAAACAGTCCCTAAGGGAACTGTTGTATGTGGAGGGCTCCCTGTATTGAGCAGGAGGGAGGGAGACCTGGCTGGATTCCCCTCCCCCCAAAGAAGGAAATCATAGATTTGGGTGGATTTCCTGGGGGGATCAAAGGGATCCCAGATCCCGGACAGGAGGAGAGTTCGGATCCTGGGGAGAAGAGGGAGATTCCGGAGCTCAGAAGGAAGAAGGAGGCGGAACCGTCACCTGGGAGGAGAATCCCCAGTGGATGCCAGGAAAGGAAAGGGGGGTCCCGGCCTCCCCCTCCCAGGGAAGAAGAGACCCTCCCCGCCCCAGGGCCTCACTTCTCCGTCCGATCGTTCGCTCCTCCCTCTTGGCCGCCTCGTAGCTGCCGATCTCGTAGTTGTATCGGCAGAAGGAATCCACAACGAGCTTCTTGTACTGTATGATCTGCTTGTCTCCGTTCCAATCGTCCGCAACCGCCTCCCCCAACGCCGTGACGGCCACATGTTTCCCGAGGTCGCTGTCGAAGCGGACGAACTCCTGCCGGTCGTAGAAGTACCGATCCAGAAACCGCACCCGCTGCGTCCCGTTGAGGAAGAGGCACTCGAACTTCTCCTGGTGCAGGAAATGGGCTGCTAGGAGGAGGAGGAGGAGGAGGAGGAAGGCCGACAGGAGGGACTCCAGGGCCCATCGCTCCCAGACGCTAGTAGAGGAGGAGGAGGAGGGTCCCACCAGGAAGAGGGGAGGGTGGGGGGGACCTTCCTTTGAGAGACTGATGGGAGACGCGCCTGGAGGAGGAAGGGGGGACTGGAGGGGGGGAGGAAAGAAAGGAGGAGGGGAGGAGCCTATTTAAGGGAACCCCCGTCCATCCCTTCCGTGGGGGGGAGGGCAGGCAAAAAATCCACTGGTCGAGCAGATCTTCTCTCTGTAGGGACCGTTGGATCTCTAGGGGGAGGAACGGTGGGGGGAGGGCTGGAGGGAAGGTAATATCCACACCTCCTGCTCTCTCTTTCTTTGGGGAGCATGGAATCTGGAGGGGGCACAAGGAGGACATCTAGACTCCCACTTCTGAAGTCTCCCAGCCCTTCCCCCCCTTCCCTGGATTCCGCCCCACCTTTTCTTCTTCCCCAAATCTTCGGCCCATTTCCCTCCCTTTGGGTGACTGTCGGGGATCCCCACCAGTTTCCTTTCCCCCTCTCCAAAAAGACCCCCGCAGCCTCCCCAAGAGCCTCTCAAAGGGAGGGTCTCCAGCCCCCCCTCACTAAAGGGGGAGCCACTTTCGGAGGAGCAACTCAGTGCCCCCCCCCTCCGTTCTGAAAATGCCTCAATTTCCCTCTTTCGCTTTCGCTTTTCCTTCCCTGCCTCTTTCCAGGAAGCCCACTCCGACCCAGACAATGGGGGGGAGAGAGGGGCCCGGCTGCGACCCCCACCTCGGCTACAATCGGGGAACAAGGGAGGGGTCCCTCTCCCTCCGCCTGGGGGGGGCATACGGGTAGGGAAGGGGAAGGAGACCACGCAGAGATCGAGGCTGTTGGAGGCTCTGGAGTTTCCTTCCTCCCCCCATCCTTCCCAACCCCCTCCTCCCCCGCCCAGCCCACTCCTTACCGGGGGTCTCCTTCGCCCCTTCGTTTCCGGGGATCCGGCCCAGCGCCCCCACCAGCAGCACCAGGGGGAGCCCAGCCAAAGCCATGGATGCCGCCCCACAAGCGCCCGCAAAGAGAGGCGAGAAGGACGCGGAGGCTCCCGGCTCCCCAGGAGGAATCGGAGCGTCTGAACTGGGGAAGGGGAAGTTTTCCCCTCACTTCGGAACCGGGAGGGTCCAGAAAGAGCAGGAGGACCAATGAGAACTCTCCCTTCTTGCAGCGTCATCGGTCTCCGGGTAGAGTCTTCCTTCACTGCAGCCGATACAGGAGACAGTTCGGCGCAGAGAGAGAAGCGGAGAAAGTGGGAGGGGGATCCTTG